GAACTATTCAAACAAAATTCAACCATCAATTTAAAGGGTAATTATTTCCTAATACTATATCTTTGTAAAACTATTTTAAAACTGTAATTCATTGAACAATAGGTTTGTCTGTTGGCAATGGATTACTGGGTGGATGGCGTGATGGCCAGTCGATAGTCGACTTTCTCTTAGGACACGGATTAGTGACTACCGATTGGTACGCGAAGAAAATAGAGGCCTGTTGTGAGTGTACGGCCGGTATTCAACACGAGTGTGACTTTGATAAAGCCCCCAATAAAACGTAAGTTATAATTCATTCACATTTGTATACCTAAAATAGTTTAATATTTTATTTCATTATATTATTTAAATGAACAGTAAATGTGAATCCATTCCTATGGCTATGATGTCAACTCCTAATCCATACAATATTTACGACGAGTGTGTGCCTGATCTGGACGTCCAAAACCTGTTCAATACATACCATAAGCAACAGTTTGAGAAGATTGGCGTCAATTTTTCAATCAGTGATGGATTTAAACAAAACGCTAAACCCAAGTGTCCAAAGAATGGTCACACGCCTTACCTCAACGACCCGGCCGTACAAAAAGCACTGCACATAAGGGAAGGTGGAGTGCGTTGGGGCGCCTGTCGAGGGATTTACGATCGGACGCACGGATACACATCCCAAGAGAAGATCGTTTACGATTTGATCCACAATTACAAAATCGGTCGTTTTGTCGTATATAACGGCGACACCGATACCACGTGTGACTTTATATCAGACCAACGCTTTATAGACGGCGTCGCCGTTTCAACGCAAAGCAAAAAACTTGAAAATTATCGGTTAGTTATCAACACATAACATGTCTATAAGTATTAATTTGTTTTGTTTTTGAATTATTACCAGAATTTGGAGAGAAGACGGAAAACCCGACGGAAGGATCGGTGGATTTGTTCAGCACTACGAGAATGGCCTGAGCTTTGTCTTAGCCCGTGGGGCCGGACATATGGTGCCCGAAGATAAGCCCGAAGCTGGGCTTCAGATATTTAAGCATTTGCTCGGATTGGCTAAACTATAATTATTATTTGTTTAATATTTGTTAATATTGTAAGAAGTAGAGACACGATTGAAATCATTAAATATCTATTTTAAATTATTTGTTATGGCTTCGAAATGTTGTTCAAAAGTTACCGACAATAACTTATTTATAAATTAAAATATTATATAATTATTTGATGTTGTAATCATTTTGCAAAATACATTAAAGATATAAATAATTAAAGTATACTAAAGTTTTGTTTGTGTAAAAATTAGAAATATTTTAATAAATATTAGCACAAAAATTTTCTAAATTAATTCTGCCAACACATAAATCAAGAGACTTTGTACTTATCATATTATGTGTACTGCATTTAATCATAATTATAATTTATATACCATTTTATTAACTTTAAATCTATTTTGGAATTATATTAAGCTGTGATAAGTGTCCGATAATTGTTACTAATTTTTATATTAAAAAGCAACATCATAGACTATGATTCATAGTATTGTATGACAGCAGATGATCTATGGAAACAAATGAATTTACCTTGATACGCTATCAATTTAAGAATTAGTGTACTAAAAAGTGTTTAGGCATAATAATATGGTGTTGAAAATTGTATTGTCACACCTGTCCAACACATCGATCACAATTACAAACATCTCGAGACCCCATTGAAGTTTAAGAATAATTCATTAGATAATTATTTAGATTATGGGATTTAAATGCTTAGCAGTGCACTATTTCACTATTTTATACATTTTTAAAACTTCATTTTAATCAATACTAAGAAGTCTGCGGGGAATGAGTTGTTTACAAGAGTTTGATAATGAATTCAAATAAAACCCGATTCACAATTGAAAGTTTTACTGTTATTAGGAAATATTCAACATGAAAGTTTTAATTTTATTAACAATATTTCTAAATGTATTGATTGCATTGGCAGTGAATGAAGACGAAATAACATCACTGCCGGGTCTCTCGGATGCCATAAAATTCAAACAATATTCCGGTTATTTGAATGCATCGAAAGGCAGACATCACTTCTATTGGTTTGTTGAGAGCGAATCCGACCCCCAAAACGCACCGGTAGTGCTATGGCTGACGGGAGGGCCCGGATGTAGCTCTATATTCGGGATGATTACAGAGAACGGACCCTTTCGGGCCAATGAAGACGGAAAAACACTATCACTCCATGACTTCGCGGCCAATAAAGTGGCAAATATGGTATACATGGAGTCTCCCGTTTCCACTGGTTTTAGTTATGATGAAAATAGCCGACAGCCGCGCAACGACGACGTGACCACCGCTAACGACAACTACTTAGCCCTCGAGAGCTTTTTTGTAAAGTATCCGCATTTGAAGAAAAATCCGTTTTACATAACGGGTGAGAGTTATGCCGGCGTTTATATACCAATGTTAGCGCACGAAATATTTAAGCGAAACTCAACCATCAATTTGAAGGGTATATTTTGATAATGTTATTATTAAAACAATTCATAATTAACTTGATCTAATATGTTTAGGTTTATCTATTGGCAACGGATTAATTAATGGAGGCGATGATTCACAATCTTCGTTAGACTTTGCTTTAGGACACGGATTAATTACCACCGAGTATTACGAGAAGAAGATAGAGGCCTGTTGTGAGTGCAAGACTGGCGTTCAACACGAGTGTGATTTTAGTAAAGCTCCCAACAGAACGTAAGTTACCATGAGCGTTTAGAGCCGTATTTATTGAAATTAATATTGATTTCAAACATCTAATTTGATTGAATAGCAAATGCCAATCCGTTGAAGGCTCTGAGGTCTCCACTCCTAATCCATACAATATATACGACGAGTGTTTCCCGGATCTAGACTTACAAAAGGTGTTCAATGCATACTCTAAGCATCACTTTGAAAAGATTGGACTCAAATTCGCGATTAACGATGGATTCAAATACAACGCTAAACCCAAGTGTCCAGTGAATGGTCACACGCCTTACCTCAACGACCCGGCCGTACAAAAGGCACTGCACGTAAGGGAAGGAGGGGTGCATTGGGGCGCATGTGATGGCAATTACGATCGCTCGCACGGATACACCTCTCAGGTGGAGACTACCATTGAGTTGATCCAAAAGTACAAAATCGGTCGTTTTGTCGTATATAACGGCGACTTTGATATAATGTGTGACTTTGTAACCGACCAACGCTTTGTCGATGGGATCGCTGTCTCGACCCAAAGCAAGAAAGTTGGAAGATATCAGTCAGTAGTTAAACACACGTAACGTTTTATTGAGTTTTAATTTGTGTTTTTATTTGTTAATAACCAGTGAATGGAGCGAAGATGGTCAGGTCAGCGGACGCATCGGTGGTTTTGTTCAGCACTACGAGAATGGCCTGAGTTTTGTGTTAGCCCGCGGGGCCGGACATATGGTGCCCGAAGATAAGCCCGAAGCGGGGCTTCAGATATTGAAGGATTTGGTTGGTCTGACCAAGCTATAATTTTAATTATTTTTTAATTAAATTTTTAATTAATTAATGTTATTTGTTCATCAAAATTGTGCATAAATTTATACATTAAATAACAAATTATAAAAACATTTTAATTAGTAAATACTGAAATTCTTATTTTATCACATAATAAAATATAAGCTATTGTAACAATACTTTTTAACCACAATTCAGACATGAATAATATGGTTCATAGGATCTTTTATTAATTCCAGTTCTTCTATCCTTTCACTCAAATTTGAGCATGCATATTTTTAGTACCATGCACATTATTAACATAATAATATTCAGATATTAACCAGTAGTAAATGTCCGATAATTATAACAAGTGTTTTCATAATTGCATGTCTTGTATTGCAAGTGCTCTTAGGAAACATTGATTTTGATATTATCATTATCAATTTAATAATTTGTGTACAATAGTACAGTACTCTCTACAATTTGCACCTTGGACACAATACAATCAATACTATTTATTTATTGCAATTATTATTATTACTATTTAATATATTGTCACACATTTATGAGTCCTTTGCGTACACATCAATCACAATAAAACACAACTCGAGACCCCTTTAAAGAATAAGAAAAATTGATTAGATTATTGTTTGGATTATTGAATTAAAACTCATTAATTATCAGATTTTATACATTTTCAATACTAAAAGTTGTGGGGAATCGTTTGTTAGAGTATTGATATAATGCATTAAAATAAAATCTAAATCACAGTTTGAAAATTTTATTATTGTAAAGAAATATTCAACATGAACGTTTTAACTTTGGTAACATTATTTCTAAATGTATTCATTGCTTTAGCAGTGAATGAAGACGAGATAACATCACTGCCGGGTCTCTCGGATGCCATAAAATTCAAACAATATTCCGGTTATTTGAATGCATCGAAAGGAAGACATCATTTCTATTGGTTTGTTGAGAGCGAATCCGACCCCCAAAACGCACCGGTAGTGCTATGGCTGACGGGAGGGCCCGGATGTAGCTCTATATTCGGGATGATTACCGAAAACGGACCCTTTCGGGCCAATGAAGACGGAAAGACACTATCACTCCATGACTTCGCGGCCAATAAAGTGGCGAATATGGTATACATGGAGTCTCCCGTTTCCACTGGTTTTAGTTATGATGAAAATACCCGGAGTCCCCACAACAACGATGAGACCACCGCTAACGACAACTACTTAGCACTCGAGAGCTTTTTTGTAAAGTATCCGCATTTGAAGAAAAATCCGTTTTACATAACGGGTGAGAGTTATGCCGGCGTTTATATACCAATGTTAGCGCACGAAATATTCAAACGAAACTCAACCATCAATTTAAAAGGTAAATTTAAAGGCATAAAAGGTTATCATTAAAATCTAAAATTAACACTATCTAATACAGGTGTAGCGGTTGGTAACGGAGCACTTAATGCAGGCCATGATTCACAATCTTCGTTAGACTTTGCTTTAGGACACGGATTAGTGACCACCGATTGGTACGCGAAGAAAATAGAGGCCTGTTGTGAGTGTACGGCTGGTATTCAACACGAGTGTGACTTCAGTAAAGCCCCCAATAAAACGTATGTTTAACTTTTTAATGAACATTTAATCATGTATTGATCCACATTTAAATGCACAGCAAATGTGATTCCGTTCCTAACGTCAGAGTCTCGACTCCTAATCCATACAATATATACGACGAGTGTTTCCCGGATCTGAATTTACAAGAGGTGTTCAATACATACCATAAGCAACACTTTGAGAAGATTGGTCTCAAATTTTCAATCAGTGATGGATTGAAACAAAACGCTAAACCCAAGTGTCCAAAGAATGGTCACACGCCTTACCTCAACGACCCGGCCGTACAAAAAGCACTACATGTAAGGGAAGGGTCGGCTCGTTGGGGTGCATGCAATGGGATGAGCCATTACCAGAAGGGGGCCGACATCTCTCAGGTGAAGACTACCATTGAGTTGATCCATAAGTACAAAATCGGACGTTTTGTCGTATATAACGGCGACTTTGATATCGTGTGTGACTTTGTAACCGATCAACGGTTTGTCGACGGAATCGCTGTCTCAACACAAAGCAAAAAACTTGGAAGTTATCGGTCTGTTGTCAACACACTTACCAGTCTTGCCATTTGTGTTTATTTGATTTATATTTAATTATTTATAGGAAATGGACTGAAGACGGAAAACCCGACGGAAGGATCGGTGGTTTTGTTCAGCACTACGAGAATGGCCTGAGCTTTGTGTTAGCCCGCGATGCCGGACATATGGTGCCCGAAGATAGGCCCGAAGCGGCTCTTCAGATATTGAAGGATTTGATTGGCATTTCTAAGTTATAATTGTATTAATTTTAATAATTAAGTTGTAATCTAATGAGTGCTATTTATTTGCAAAACTTGTGTTGAAATGTTAAGAATTAAATAACAACTTATAAAAATGACTTTAACAATAAATTTTAAGATAAAACAGATGATACATTTGTACAGAATCTAATGTATTACTATAGATTATCAATAAACTTCAAAACATTAATTAATTTTTTATTTAGAATTAAAATGATTTATACATTACCATTTTTATCACAGAATGCAAAATAGATATAAAAATATTAAAACTAAAAAGTTAAATTAAAATGATAAAATTAACTAAAAAATTTGGCCTGAATTTGAATACTAAACAAATAGTATAATCGATCCAATTCTGAGACAAACATCTTTAGATTACGGCAACTGTCGGCTGAATCTGTAAGATCGCGGGCACACGACTCCCCAAATGTATACAAATCCCCGTATAATTCAGAAATCTATTCAAAATGCATTAAATAAATCAAAAAATAATTGAAAAACACATTATTAATAAAACACAAACACCACTCACTTCGCCGATAATATCGGACATAACATTATTCCTGAGTTTAGCGCCAAACTGTCCTAATCTGAGACCCGTTTGCAAAAGCATTAGTTTGGGCTTAAAGTTCAGAAAATTGAGAGCATAGGGCAGTCTCTCCATCGCCGAGCACTCGGCCTCTTTGACCGTCTCATTGAAGTGTAGGGCCCGCCAGTCCTCATCGCAACGCATCACTTCAGTTATAACAGCAATCGCTTTGATAGCGCCGGACATTTCCTCCCGCGACTCCGCGGCGCTCAGTCTCTTCTCCTCTTGAGATCCCTTGAAAATATCGGCCAAACCTTTGGTGTATTTATCGTAGAACTGCTTATAACAGATGAGTCCACTCTTGTGGGCGATGGCCGCCCGTCTCTCAACCATTTGTTCCCCGATTTCAAAGTTTTGTTGACTTAAATCATAGAGTTCTCTATCCGATAGTCCTGTTAATCCGTTCGTACCCTTTGTTATGCATTCAATGTCTGCACTTCTGTCGCAAACAACTAAATATAAGAAATTTAGTTTTTAGATCAATATTTTGATGCTTTTATTGAAAAACATACCGAAAGTGAATGCAAACGATAAGAATATTAAATAAATTAATGAATTCATTATTAAAAATATTTTGAGAAAATACTTATTTGTGATATTAATGAATATGAATTGATGTGCCTTTTATAATGTCTTAAAACTTAATTAAATTCATTTATACATGTTTTAAATTCCAATGAATAAACTTTCAGCAAAAAATTTAAAAGAAAATTGTGTGAAATAATTAATTATACAATTTTTCAATACAAAATTTCCTTATAAAATGTCCTTCATTTTTGAAATCAATTCAAACGATTAAAACAATTAAAATTTATTGTGAATTCAACAAAAGGCATACATTTTAAAGCGATAATAATTGTAATAATTATATTAATGGTTTATATAGAGGCAAAATAATATTTGTATTTTACAATTAATAGATTTAAATAGATTTTTAAAATCGCATTACAAATAAAAACTAAACTTTTCTTTAATAAAAACATATTTTATGGGAACAGAATTGAGATCAAAAGTATTTATCATTATATTTCGATTTATTCACAATAATTAATCTTAATTTCGGACATTTCTTAATAATTCTCTTAATATCTGATTGTCTGAAGTCTTGACAGTAAGACACAGACAATGATTGAAGTGATGACAGTTTTGAGACACATTTCAGCCATTTATTGTTGATATCACTATTGGTATTGCAATCAATTTTCAGTGTCTGTAGTATTGGTTGTGTGGACACAATCTGTGCTATGATTTCAATCGGCAGACCATAATAAGTGATCCATAAGTGTGTTAAACGTGGCCAACCATTCAATGGCTCTAATTTGGACCAATCGATAACACTATTCCCTTCTTTCACTTTAATCTCTAAACTCAAACGTTTTAATTGTGACATAAATTGGATTGAATTCATTATGTCTACAATTAATGCCAGAGTCGTTGATTCAACAACCAATGAAAACTTTTTGAGTTTTACGCACTTTAAACCAATTCTCTTCAGACTATCGTATAGTGAATAGTGAAGAGTGAATGAATAATCAGGAAATGTTATGTATAATCTTTTCAATTCTGTCAATTCGGACACTTGTGCCAAGAATTGAGTCAACTTTGTTTCCGAGTTTTCCGATATTTTATTAATATCAACGCTTAATGTTGTGAGACGTGAGCCATAGTATGCGATAAACTGAGCATATTTTTGTGAATCGTATTCCTCTTCTTTCCACGTCAAACAAATCACTTTCAAGCGATTGAATGACAATAAGTGGTTGTCTTCGATGGCAAACATTAGATCCAATCCATACGTCCAGAGACCACATAATTGGGGGAAATGTTGTTCGTATAAAACCGCAATCTTTTCGGTGATTGCAATATAGGTAATCATTGAACCGAATGGAGACAACAATTGATTAAAATGAGAGGAACGCATCCAACTATAAAAGTCAAAATAAACACTTGGAAGCCGTGGCAACCGATTCATCGCTTGCAATACAGAGTCTTCATGTCCAGAGTGTCCGCAAAAACCATCAAAATGTCGCACACTTTCAATGTTTGGGCATTTGTTGGCAATAAAATCAATAAATCGTTGACACACCTCATCAACCGATGCATCCACTTCTTTGACTTGCATTCTGCCAAAGAGTTTGGACTTTACCTCAATCTCAGTGATGGTGTCATAAATGCATCGCTGGAATTGCTTTGACACACATTCGTGTCGGGATCTGCTCTCAAATAAGTCCTCAAACTTTTCATCGTATAAATGATATGACAACAAAAGTCGGGCCAAATCATCGCCGAAGCGGTCGAAGGAGTCTTTGGCGTACTTTTGAGACTGCATTTAACGGACGATACACTTAACTAATCGCTATAAATATATATCTTATTGATCACTAAAATAACTGATCACTGAATGACTGTAAAGTGTGAACACATTTGGATAAATGCTGACAAAAAGTGAAACAATGTGTGAATTGAGTCCTTTTTATCCCAATAAAGTGTGTTATCATTTGATAACTTATCAAAACTTATCTATCATTCAATATTGAGTTTGAATCAGTTTTAAACTTCCAAAACGGGCTTAAGTTTAACATTAAGTCTTATCATAACCATTGAAATGAATGTATAATAAATGCCATTGAATTGAATGCAATCATTATTATTGAACTTTATTTTAAACTTAAGCCCCGTTTGAAAGTTAACAAATGAGATAAAGTTGTAATGTGTTTGTGGTTTTGAAATTCAAAATTTGAATCATGGTAATTGCTATGATCGACACATGCAACTTATAACTAACAATTTATAACTTTATTAAACAATTGGTGATCAAAATGGGGGACAAAAGTTGTTGACAACAAACAAATGGTAACGTAATGTATGAACGAGTGATTGATTTCAATCAACGCAGCAATGATTGAGTCATTGATTGCATAAACAAAACACCAAAACATCACAACAATTGAGTC